CCTCCCAGGTTCAAGCAATTCTCCTGCCTCAGACTCCTGAGTAGCTGCGATTACAGGCATGGGCCATCACACCCAGCCGGAAAGACACAGGAAATATAGTATTTGTACTCCTCTGTTTATGATCCTTTCAGGGCCAATTTAAATCACTTCCTGTGTATATACTTTGTAACGCTGCAAAGCTTGATTTCCTAGGAAGATTGTTACGATGTATGAGTGTGGGGCGTTGCTTATCCTAGAAGCTTGCATTTTAACCAGGACCCTCTTAAGGTAGCCAGTCCCCCTCCAGTGTATTCAGCTCCACCCTGGGCCAGGAGGCGGGCTACTGGGCACTGTGGCTCTCACACACTCTGTGCCCCTCTCCTTCCTTCAGTGGAGCAGTTCTTGCCCAGAAGCAAGTGGGATGGAGGGTGTAGTGCACACCTCAGCTGTGCCTGTCTGGTGGCCACAACAGGGGTGAGAAGAGAAACACTGGTCAGAGCTAATTGACAAGTGATGGATAGGAGACTCCTCTCTGGTCCCCAGGAGTCAGGCCCCTCTGGAGGGGTGTGGGTGCCCCCGGGCATCCTTACCAGGTCCTCCTCCTGCAGTGTCCCTGCAGCACTCTGCTGAGCAGGCATGGCCAGTGCCCTTTGCTATGGTGGGAGGTCACCACCGTGCCGGATACGTTGGCTGTGCCTGAGTGGGAGAGGCCGGCACACCTCCCTCAGAGACCACCATATTGCCTTGAGGGTGGCTCCCACCTCCGAGACGCAGGGTGGAGTCAGCCCTGCCCATGGTCCAGTCCTGTGGAGGTTTGGCCTCCGCAGTGCTTAGTCAGGGCTAGGGGCGGCCTGCCAAGATCACCATGGCCCTGTCTTGTTGTGAATCAGAGCCCAGTTTAAAGCAGTCCCTGAGGTTCTGCATCTCCGCATTCCCGGCACAGCTACGTGGAGTCTGTGGCTGACCAGGTAGATACCAGCGTGTGACAGAATCACCTTTGTGCCTTCCACAGTGCTGGGCAAGAGCCGGTCCCAGGACCAGCCTCTGTTAGGGCTTTGGGTGCAGCAGGGACTGGGAAGGCACCTGCCACGTCCCGACCCCGAGACAGCTCTGCCCACCCAGCCCTCTCAGACCAGCCTGCTCTGGGACTTTGATCCCCTCTGGCCTGCCCTGCTCTGCTGCCCTAACTGCCCAGGGTGTCTCATAGATGCTTTTGAAGTCTCCTCTACCAATTCAGTGGTGGTCTCAGTTTAAAAAGCCTTACCACTGAAAGCATTCAACTTAAATTATATGATATCTGGGATTTGCTTCAAATTATACTACTTTGTCTATTTTTTTATATGTGTAGATTTTCCTAAAACTTAAAAAATCTAAAAGTAGCCAGGTACAGTGGCTCACACCCTCACGGCACTTTGGCGGCAGGATTTGAGACCAAGAGGTCGAGGCTACAGTGAGCCGTGATTGTGCCACTGTACTCCAACCTGGGCAGCAGAGCGAGACCCTGTCCTTAAAAAATAAAATAGATAAGTAAATAATCAGTCAATCAGCGAGTGTTTTTGAGGTTGCTGTGCATCATTGCCTGGCCTCGCTGGGGTTCTGGGGAGCTTCCTGCCCTGCTGTTTCTCCTGCGCCTTGCATCTGTGACCCTGAGTCTCACTTCTCCCTGCCTAGGACCGCCGGGGTCCTGCTTGTTCTGGGGCAGCCACGAGGGAGCCCTCGTCAGGAGCGCCGTGGGCCGAAGCTGCCTGCCCTCTGCACGTGGATGTTTCTTTGGAACAAGGGGAACAATTATGGTTTTCTTACTTTGCTTTGGCCTGTGAATAACCCCCTTTTCTCTGGTGCCTGGGTGTGCGCTCTGCAGTGCTGATGGGCACATGCCCGTCCTTCAGCGTTAGGTGGGTGGCATATTCAGTCTTTCCCGACATCATGTTTGCTCCTGGTGCTTCAGAGATGGCTGCTCTGATGTTTTCTGCTCCCTCATTCCTGAGGGAAGTGGCAGGCTTAGCCACTGCTGTCTGTGGGACTTCTCGAAACTGTGAATGCCAGACCTTGCCCAGTGCTAGAGGCGACGAGTGTGTGAAGTTGGAGAGACTTCTCCCACACGCTCAGCTGCAGTGGACCTGAGCGAGCAGAGAGAGCGAGTGCACCAGGGCCCAGACTGTACACGCAGGCAAGGCGGGGGCCTGGAGAGCATGACGCCCCTGGGAGCCTCTGGCCAGGAAGGGTGTGTGCACTGCAGTGTGCCAGGGACCAGTGGTCTCAGCTCATGTCTTCCTGAAGGTCCAGGGCACTCACCTGTGTGGGGATGTTAGCAAACACAGCGGGAAGCCCTCATACACTGTCTCCCCCAGGACGTTGCAGGGCCAGCAGGGAATGGCCGGCCCAAGGCCAGGCCCCTCCCCTTTAGCATTCCTCTCAGGCAGGCCGGAGCCACAGTGACTACCAACCACATCATCTCCTTCCCCAGAATCCCCAGCGTACTCTTCCTCCCCTCCTGGCTGCACAGGGCCCCGGCTGCTGACCCTCTGCCATCTCCTGAATCTCAGAAAGCAGGGCCGGCCTCTGAATACAGAGGACTTCATCCTGCCAGAGGATGCTCAGCCAGTGGGCGCTGGCATGC